TATATATATATATATATATATATATATATATATATATATATATATATATATATATATATAAAAAATATAATATATGAAATCTCCAACCCTTTTCACTTTCTTTGAAGGGATTTACCTCAAATGCAGACAATTCATGTGTTTTTAAACGAGTTAATGATGGTAAATTATGTTCAAAACAATGGAAGCAGCCTGGTTTCAGTCAAGCAAACAGTCTGCAACAAATTTGATGTTTATCTCCTAACACTCTGTGACTGCTGTTGTAGAAATGCTCAGCCTTCCTATTCTATTTTAAACCTGCTTATAAGACGCTGTCTGAGCAGCTGTGATCCGTTGTGAAACATCACATGAGCATTTCCTTTGAATCAGTTTCCCCAATAATGTTAGAGGGAAACTAAAAACAACAGCCATGTTCATTATTGCATTAAAACTTTAATCAACCCCACAAGACCAGCTTTTATTTTTCATTAAACATCTTTTGCTTAAAAACTGTTCTTGGCATATTCATGTTTTGTTTTTTTTCAGCAAGAGTTGGACTTCAGATGCTGGAAAGCATTTAAGAAGAAGGTTAAAACTGCTTTGACTTGAGCAAATAAGAACTTTGCTTCTTACCAGGAGTAAAGGATGCAGGCAAGCAGGATCACAGCCCCTAAAGATGTGACGATCTTCTTGTCGCTTTCTGACCCCGAGTTGAAGGGAAACACGCACACAGTTTTGTTTTGGCCGTCTATTTCAATCACTGGAGGACGAAACACAAACAGGATATAAAATAAAAACCTCGACATAGATGGATTCAACTGTTGTAATGAATGTGCAAAACTTTATGTTCTGTATTATATTTATAAAGATAAATCTGTGCTGATGCAAGCCTCATTGAATGCAGGATTTAACTCGGTATTAAATGCTAACCTAAATTGTCCACCAACTGATCTAAGTTAGCATTTATAAGCGATTGCCACAGTTTGATACAAATGCGTCTGTTCTTACTTTCTTTTGGTTTGCTGGAGAAAGCTGAGAAGGTGAGATACATGACATACACGCTGATGACCCCGGGCTGCAAAAGCCCTGATTTAGGTTGCACTGCACAGAAACAAAAGTGAATATAAAATCTTTACAAAGCATCCTTCAAATATATTCACACAGCACATTTTACACATTACAGACACGCCACTAAATGCATTTTCTTTTTTTTTACTTTATGATATAACAAAGTACTGCATGACTGCAAATTGAAAGGAAAATTATGTATAAAAATCTGTATATTTAGGGCCCTATCTACTTAAGTATCCCAAAATAAAATACAAACTAGCATTCAGAGGTCACCAAAATAGTAAAGAGACTGTGTATAATTAAGTCTGGATTTAAATCAAGCTGTTAAAACAGGAGCACAAAGAACCAGAAACAACCCAGATGGGTTAGAAAGGTTGTTGAGAGGTTTAAAACAGGGTTGGGTTATAAACGAAGATTGGAACATTTCAGAGCGCTGATCAAGTCCCTTATCTACAGACACACAGGCACCAAGATATGACTATCTATTCAAACAGACAGGAGAGGCTAATTTATAAAATTAAATAAACAGTTAAAAAAGCTCCTGGGATCTCTGGAGCAGCTGCAGAGCTGCAAGGCTTCGGTGAGAGAGATCAGTTGCGATCTCTACGAATCTAAAGTTCTTTTTGCCAAAAGCCATGTAGAGGAATAAAAACAAACATTTGGTCGTCTTCCAAAACAACCTTGTCCAAATCCAAACCTACAGCTAACCTGGTTTGTAGGAAGCTTTAAAAAAATCTTGTTTCCAGTCACCCTTCATCAAATCTGAATCCCACACAAAACAATTCACTTTCTAAATGTGCAAAGATGGAAAATGACAAATCTGAGAGATTGTGATCTAGGGTTTAATTGCAGCCAGTTGTAGGAATTAGGAAACTCTAGGAGAGTACTTCAGTTTCTTTATATTTTGATACTTGGTCATTTCTATGATGAATGAGATAAAGAATACCAGCAAGATTAATATTAAAGATCATAAACTGGCATGGCGCCTTACACTTCTGTATGCAAGGAGATATGGCGAGCATGGAGATAATAAGGCAAAGGCCTCCATTGATGCCCAGGAAGATCTTGTTAAGCAAGCAGGCCTCAGGGTGGGTGTAGTACACGCCCATGAAGATCACAGCCCCCACTGCGATGCTGAACAGAATCAGGGTCACCAAGGCCAACGCTGCGTACCACATACGGTTATACTTCACTCCTGAAGTCCTGCCGACAGAAAATAAAGGAAGGGAGGGGGGGCAAACAGAAAAAAAAACACAATATTAACAAGGGAAGACAAACTGAATGGGGAATAAGATAAATCAACAAGGAAAACAAGAAAATATACAAAAATACAACCCAGGAGTAATTGACCTGAAGGGAGATTTCACAGAAAGAAAGAGTGATGCATGATGGGTTAAAATTGCAATCGGATACCAAGACAGGATATATTTACAACTGTGCAGTTTCAGTTTTGTTTTTTAACTCCGTCTGGAAGTTTAAGTATTAAATTTAACACATTAACATATACAACATATATGCAGAAGTTTAAAAATAATCCAACAACTATTAAGATTTTAATCTTGGAAACAATCCATCACAGTTTATTTAAGAGGAGAAACACCTTTAGGAGAAGCTTTACAATAAGTGTTCTGCTGCCAAGCTAACACTGATACTCATTTAGATCACATCCACACCCTGAGCCTGTAGCTTCTCAAGACAAAAAGGGCAAAAACGGAGAAAAAAAAAAAAAAAAAAAAAAACAATATACAAATTCTCACCAGTTTGTATTCCATCTGTGTGCAAACTGCACCAACAGCATGAGCTGGATGAGCTGGAAAAAAAATCCACCTGCAGCTCCGATGTAGCGCCAAACTGTGAAGAAGGCAAATGATAATAAGACCACATTTTAAACTGCTGTGTGCTGAATAAAAGCCAATAAAGAGATAAATTTTTGGAAAAATATGGAAGATGAAATCATTCATAAATTAAAAATGTTCATAAAAGACTTATTTGAAAGTGTAAGCTTCCCTCATGGTGCCTTTCAAAACTATTTACCGTACAACTTTTAAAGCTATTGCAACCACACTCATCAATGTATGTTAAGGATTCCCACAGATTCCCATTTGTGTTTTGAACTTCTGATCCAAACTGATCCATTGCAGCTTTGTGTTAAATTTACTGTCCATTTTGACTTGGACAGAAAAGTTCCAGCTAACCTATTCCATGGGTTTGCAGTGTCTTCTATATGTCTTGTAGCAATATAAAGCAACACAGAGATGGACTCTAACTTTTAATCAAGGCATTTTGATGGTTATTGGTTGTGTTTTCAAAACTAGGTGTCCTTTTTCTTCTATACACTTACACCCATTCTGTGCTGGCCAGCAAATTTAATCCAAAATAAAATCAGGGTTGGTGGTTCATAGAAGAATGTGAAAATGTTATATACCTTTGCAGACACAACAAAAAATAAATGCAAAGAAAAATTGTTCCATAACAACAGAAAAGATGAAGACAAATATTTCTTCCTAACTTCACATAACTACTTCACAATTTTACATCACTCATATTTTCACTTAAATCTAAGCCTGATAAACCAGATTAAATGTGAGATTAAATGTGTAATTTAGTCTGGCCCCAATGAAGGACACATCGGAATATTGTTGATGGGAACAACCCGCTGTTTTTCAAACCATGTCTGTGCCTATTGGCAAACACTCTGACCAATGAGCGCCACTGACTGTGACGTAGGAAGCGAGACAGGAAGCTGGTGGGGGAGTGTAAACAAATAGCCTGTCTGTAGAACTTCGAATACGTCCATCTTAAAAATAAACAATCGTAGAGCCTCTAACTGCTCACGAAAACCCCAAGTCTAATCCTTGTAAAACTGATTCCAAAGCTGAGTCAAACGAGAACTGTTCAATAGTTGTTGCCATCTTCCTTGTTGTCCTTTCTCCAGAGTTGTGCTGCTTTGTCGTCACACCCTCAAAACCCCGCCCGCTTTGCATCCAGAAATTCAAAACACATATCTGCTTTGTGATTGGCCCACCAGTTCTAGGCCCTGGGACATTGATCGAGGCTAGACCAACTCGCAGGCAAAAAATGATTTTGGCCGCTGGTGGGTGGAGCTAGTTTACTAGGCTACTTAAATCTAGGATGTTATTTCTCCTTTTTAAAGGCTTCCAAATTCAGACCAGTTCCAAACTGTATCATCAGGGTTTGAATGATTAAAGACAAATTGTTGATTGATTTTACAGTGAAGGGGAGGTTAACGTTTTTACCTTCCAGAAAGGTTTCCTCCTGTGGAATAAAGAAGGCTCCAGTACAACAACCTGCCAGGACGATAAACTTCAGCAGCCAGAATCTGATAATCAAGAGAAAATCATTATTCATATAAAAAAGTAGTACATCATTTCATTATCTATTCATTTTTTAGTTTCTGTTTCGCAGTTAAAATCAACATGGAGTAAAACTATGCTTTGTTCACCAAGTCTGTCTTTTTGTTTAAAAGTATTTTATGTCGTGGTTTGATGTTTGCAATGGTTCTCATAGATAACAGTATATCCAAATAAACAAAATCTGCAAATTTTTACCCATTATGAATGGCCGCCCTGCAGCCTATGCTGTTCTTTATCCGAAGGGTGAGGATGCAGAAGAAAAAGAAGAAGCACGCCATTCCGAAGCACATTTTATAGACGGCAGAGTATCCCACCAGAGTCTTGCAGTTTTCTCCTGCATTCACTTTCTCACACAGTTCACTGTAGAAGGGGATCTGATGGGCAAAACAAGAGACAAAAAAGAAAAAAACAGATTAGATTACCGTGGAAGTGGACAGAGACCCACCTCTGCTTATGTTTGTATAGAGTGTGGCTTCAGTGAAAGGCCCAATAGTGTCTGTTCTCTGTGTCACAGCTCTAAAAGAAGCCGAAAGAGAGAGCAGGCAGCTCTGTCTCCTTGGAGCCTTCCTTCATTCATTCTTGGCTTTCTGCAGCCTGTTGGAGGGGCCTTAAAACTAACTGGCAGCGTCCAGCAACAAATGCAGCAGATGAATACATTTAATGTTTGTTGTTACTGAAGTCAGAAAAATGTGAAGGGGAAAAAAGCAGAACAATGTCAGGGGAAAAACATGGTTTAAGCTCCAAAATCTTAGTTTGACTTGTATCTAAACAGCAGATGCAAAAACCAAGAGTAAGTAATAAAAAGAAGAAGCTTGTGTTGGCCGTACAGCAGGAAAGGGTAGTTTGAGGACTGAAGTCCAACAGAAGGGATGCCTTTTTGAATTAAAGAGGAAGACAATTATTATATCTGTTGCACAGCCCTCCTAGCCTCTGAGATGAAAAACAAATGAGACAAAATGCCAGAACAGGTTCCAAAGCTTTACCTTCCCTGTCATGAACAAACTAAAAATCTGCCCTTATAGTAAATGTACAGCGCTTCGCTAAACATTTGATCATATTGAGTAACAAGTGAGAGGACAATTCTTTTCATTTGAAATGAGTAGTACCTTGATGCTTCTTTTAAATAACAAAACAAAATAAAAAAAATTTTTGCCTGAAACATATATGAGTCAATGGCAACAGAATTCGGCACGACTTCTTTAAGTAAAACACATACAATGAAAAAAAAAACAACTTAAATGCCTGAATCTGAAAGAAATCTTACCCTCATATTCCTGTAAGAGATGTTTTATTACATAAACTGAATTACCCCATGCAGAGTTTTAGAAATGTTTCTTTCAAAGGAGCAGATCAACGAGCTCCGGAGCTACTCTGAAAGCTATAGAACGTGGCTCCTATTGATCACTGACAGGACATCCCAACAGATTATACAGAACAGTTGTATGTGTTTGACTTGCACCGATAGAGCCATCATCTCTTCAGTGTCTGGGAATGTTCAGAGCCAGATCCCGATATTGAGCTAAAAGTCAATTTTGAAGCTTTTTGTCTCAGCTTAAGGAGCATATTAGCATGTCCATGGTGTTGCAATGAAAAGAAGAATAGACAAACAGTTTCAGACTGCTGTAAATCTCTTTAGAGCAGACCTGCACTCCCACACACACAATGGCTGCTCTCTTAGCAGGGACTTCCCACTGTGCTCAGCATGTCCCTCCCTAACAATGTCTGTATGAATGTGGGGAGGGCTATCAGAGGCCATTTTGTGCTTGGATGGGTCTTTTAGAGGATCCTTATATCCATGTCATAGGAAACACACAGCAGGGAAACCTTTCAAACTGTATTCCATACACTGGAAAAGGGACATGGGTGGACTGTTACCCACACCCAGTTTTGTCCTCTTACTCTTGACCTTCATTTGACATAATGCATTGTGTGAGAAACTACAGCAGTATCCCCTCTCATAACTCTGTCTTCTTTGGCCTTTTTTTTTTTTTTAAGTGGTGTGCCAATCAACCGGCCACCAATCATAATCGGCTGATTTTCATGAAAAGTATATGATTGTGATTGCCAATCTGCATCTTTTTTAAACGAATAACTTGCATCTCTTAGTTCACAGCCTGCAGAGGTTCTGCCTGCTGTGCATCCCCGTTTTTCCTTCTCACTCCACTGCGTGGTAGCAAATCTTCAGCACTGTCATAAGAATCTTTTGTGCTTTGAAAAAAATTTGAACTTTCTAGCAATGGAAATAAATCCTTGGAGGTGAAGTACATCAAAATGCATTATTATAACAGATACTTAAGATTTTAAAACAGGCACTTGACAGAATATGAAGTTATCGAGGAACACTACAGAAAAAAAAAGACCGTAAATAAAACAGCTCACAATTACACTTTCCTCCATGAGCATAATGGTCAGAAAACAATAACCCGCAAAATGATTACTAAAAGGAGCAGCAGTGAAAAACTGCTCTCTCTACTGGGGCGTAATATATTTCAGAGACATAGCGCCACTCAGCTCCAGCAGACAAAAGAGCGAACATCTTAAACCTGCAAGATGAATCTAAAAATAAAAAATTTTTTATATACATATGTATTAAAAATTTTGCTATATCCTAACATGCCATAGATAGTCTGTGAAAAACGTAAAAAAATAAATAAATAAAACAAGCTCTTCCATTTCTTCTGTGTCCGAAAAAAGATCCCCACCAGAGCCAGGAAGACGGTTTTAGCACCTCATTTATTCTTTTGACACTGTGCATGTACCACCAGAATGGCAAAGCAGAGTTTTAACCTTCTCAAAACAATCAGCCAGCCACCCAGGCAGTTTTGATTTATCAAATTATGATTGTTTATTTGAATATAATCTGCATTTGACTTGGAATGTTTATTTTTCCTTGACAGTATTTGATATCAGTAGTTTTGTGATCAAACTGACACAATTATATATGAGTAACTGTTTTCAATCTGTTAAATTAAACTTGTTATCAGGTCTTTCATATGTCCTTCTGACTGGATATTGGCTGCATAGTGCAACCTTCTTTTTCTATGTTTTGTCTTAATTATTTAATTTTGGCAGATCATATCGTCAGTTGTAGTATTTATAACTGAATAAAAAAATAACAGCCAGTCAGTGATCAAATCAGCCCCTCGTATCATTACACACACTCCCTCAAACCATCACATCACACCTGTTCTCTGGCAGCTGCATTGGCTTCCCAGCTCCCATTATCTAAACTATAAAATACTTCTTCTCACCTTCAAGGCTATCGACAAAATAACAGCCCCATACCTTGCTGACAACCTTCAAAAAGCCTCACCCACTCGCACCCTCAGAGCCTCGTCCTCCATTCATCTCACTGTTCCCTTTGCCGGTCTTGTTATAATTAATTATTAATGTTACTATTACATTTCCCCGAGAGACAATTTTATCAATAATGATCTGGAAAAAAACAACAATATTTTAAATATCCTTGAAGGATGAGTTTCATTTTTTTTTTTTTTTTTACTTTCTTCAATATCTCATAAGTAGATGGCAAAAGCAGGAGACAGTGCTATAAATTTTGACCCTTTAAAAAAACATTTTGCAGTATTAATTACTTTATTTCTTGTTGTACTACAGACTGAGCAAAATTATTCAGCAATATGATTGTACTATTTCTGGGATTAGCTAACAGTTCTCTCGCACACTTGTTTCTACTTGGTGCATCCATCCAGTCTACTTGATGTTTATCGAGTCCTTCACTATGTTCGACCAGCTGCTTCCATTTATCAGAGAAGAGCACTAATAATCGGATGTTTCTATTATGTACAGTAGCCAGACTTACAGAGTAATAGCTCTTCAAAGTGTATTATTCTCTCAGCTCTTAGCAGTATTGACTTATGTGATTCATTAAAGTTAAAATGGATCCTATTAAAATAGTAAATCTATGGCATCATATAAAACACGATTAATCGCTCCCAAGTAAAAGGGTTAGGGGTCAACTTGCATAATCGACCCATTTTCAAACATTTGATTTGAGGAAGTGTTCCCCTTTATTACTATCAGTTCTATTTTAGATATTATTAACCTATCGCTAATACGCAGTTAATAACCACTACATTTTGGAGCAGCAGTGATTAACACTTACATTTTCTGCTTTCAAATTCAGATTAGACGGAAAGACAAGTCTTTGAAAAATGAATCTCCTGTAATACAAACAAACTGGATAGTATCAAACTAACCTTGGTGTTATTTTGACTCGACATATCATTTGAATGATATATAACACATCTCCCCATATCCTAACTAGGAGCAATGCTTAGGAACTAGCCCATGCATGTTTTACTTCAAAACAAGACTTTTGTGTTCCTTTACTATAAAGAGTTAAAGCCTACAGCTGATCTAAAATGATCCTATGTTGGCTTCCCTTCATTGGCTCCTGGTTAAATCCAGAGAAGAATTTAATATTCTGCTTCGCTAACATAATCAAGCTCCATCATACATCAGAGATGTAACTGATGCACAAAATCCTTAGAGAATACTTCACTCCACAACTGCAGATTTGAAGGAGATTCCCAAGAGCTTCTAAAAGTGGAAAGGGAAGCAGATCTTTCAGTATTTAGGCTCCACTCTTTGGAACCTACTAACAATTTCACCCTGAGAGGCAGACATCCTGTCTGTTTTTAAGACTGGGCATAAAACTATCCTTTAAAAAACACTTGTGACTATATCCAGCTATGCCCATATGCTTCTATAGGCTTAGGCTGCTGGGGGACATAAAGCCAAACTTTCTTCACTCTCCAACTTTTAAATTAGCTGTTATTTCAGACTTTAACCTTATTTTCTCTCACTTTTCTCTTTACAGTAGCTACATCTGGCCTACTTTTCTATTTAACTGTGACACCATCTTAGAGGCAGCAGGATCATGAGAGTTGCAGCTATTAAACACTTAATGTTCTGCTTTTATAGATGATGCACTTAGTCCCATCTTTTATTTTTTACCCCTGCCTCTCTCCTCAACAGCTATTGGCTGAGCTTTTACAACACCTACCTATATTTGGCTCCATTTCTTCCTATAGACCTGGGAACTGCTACAAAGCTTAACTGCTTAGCTGTGTTTCTATAGTTGTCATCAAGTTTTACCTTTCTTCAACAACGAAACTACTTATGGATACAAGCTCTTGTTTTCTTTTGTGTGTGTTTGCTCTGTGTTCTCAAATCCCCATTTGGTCATAGCAGAAGGCCACTCACACTGAGCCTGGTTAAGCTTCAGCTTTCTTCCTGTTAAATGGGAGTTTTCCTCTGAACTGTTGCTACATTCATATTCAGTATGAAAGATTGCTGCAAGGCCAATGACACCATGCACGCCCCTGTCCAATGTTGCTATATGACTGTCCAGATGTAACAAATGCAGTAGGAAAGTGACTTGCCGCTTTCGGTTAGTTTTCCTTAGATACAAACCTTTGACAAAAATGTTAACAAACCAAGCTTGACTACATTGCTTGATAAGTAGGATTTATGGATGTTCTAGACTTGAAACTCTTGTAACACCCTGGATGAGTTAATGATATAGTTATTTACAATTTTGGCAGGCCAGAAAGAACAAAAGAAAAATTGGCTAAAAGGGAACAGCTGCCGGTCTGAATAAGGGCAACAGCTATGAAACACACTCTGCGGAGAGTTAAAGCGATGAACTCCATTTGGGGTTGATTGAAGAGATTTTACTAATAATGAAAGGACAACTGAGGATTCTTTTTGTTAGATGCTTTTAGGCATCAAAGTAAACATCTCCCCTCATTCTCAGTTTAAAAGGAAGTTGTAGAGCTTCACATTTCATTGGTCTATTACCCAACCTTTAAACAATCAGATAGACATTTTGTCGTTATTTTCCAGAGCCTTGTTTCCTAGAGACTGATTTAACTGAGTAATTCTCTCCAAACCTCTAAATGTCTGATGATGTGTGTAAATGAACTATGTACTCACATTATCTTTCATCGCCTGCTCCACGGTGGGGGACATCATGATGCCACAGATGACGGTGACCAGCAGGAAGTAGAGGGCATACATACATCTGGTCCCAGTGGATTGTTTAATCTTTGGGCAGCAGTTACAGCAGCAGGAGCAGGCTGCCGTGCCGCAGCAACAGGCCAACTGGACAAAGACATTAAGAAACTGACATCAGATGAGAAGAAGGAGAACTTCTGGGATGAACGGACCAGGGTAAAATAAAAGCTATCTCAAATAATGTATAAATCATATAAAAAGCAAATAAAAACAGGATAAATAAAAACAAGATAAAAGTATTTATAATGCTGCTGTGGTGCCTCTGATTATCTTTTGTAAGACAAAATTAAAGACAGGAAAGGACCCAACCCTCATTAAAGGAACAAGCTAAAAAGCTAGAACACTAGATAAATATTGTCCAATATTCTGTTTGACTGTAGCAGAGACTGTCTGTTTGAAGATACAACAACAAAACCAACCGATTCTGAAAAGTAATTTTTAGTTCAGAAGTTGGTTTATCAAGAAGACTCGATTCTTATCCTTTCTTATCAGCGAGACATAAGAAATTGAGGAGAGAAGGCAAATAAAGATGCATTAGGGTGCTGTTTGCGCTGCATGTTTAAACATCTCTGTGGTTTATTCAGGCTGGCGGAGAAAGAGGAAAACTTTTAGAATATATTAGGAAAGTTTAACATGACAGCAAAGTTGATCTGGTTTATCCTTTTATGCTTTTGTCTTTCCTGGACCATACTGGGTTGGAAAATGTTGGCAGGCTTATGGATATGTCCAAGTTAACTTAATTAAGGATCTATACTCTCAAGGGAATGAATAAAATATAACATATATAGAAATCAGGTGATTATCTCTCCTGCCTCATTTCTTGTCCATCCGTTCTTGTCTTTCACAGTTTCTCTGTCACCAATTTCTTTACTTGGTTTAAGCAACTTCAATGATTAGATAAAACAGCTCTAAAGACTCTAAACCAGCTCTGCCCATACAAACTAAAGGTTCCCCAGTCAATTCTAAAACATTTGTGGTGATGAACGGTTGCAGCTTTACATGGGTGGTTCTAGGCAGGGGCCAACAGGGGCCAGTCCCAATGTAGAACAACTCCTGGCTCCTGTGCTGGAAACACATTTTTCCTTTAATAAGTGTATTTCCCCTTGATTTAAGGAGGGAAGCCAACTTTTAGAGAAAAAGATTTATGTTTAAAATAAGAAAACTAAATGTAAATTTTCTTGTTACGAGTGTGGTTCCAGAATAATTCAAATATTTAAAATACGTCCATAATGTTATATTGAAAGAAGATTTACAAATGTGGTATAATCCTCCTAAGTATGTACAGGATCCTGTTGTGGGTATTCTTGGATGTCTTTCTGAGTTTTTTATATGAATATTGAAATTAAATCTTGTGGACCAGAATTAAGGAACATATCTTCGTACTTTATCATCATCCAGGTCAATATGCAGCCAAAATCTGATGGATGTATAGGTATTAAAAAACAAAAGAGAAATGACATTTTTCAAGTGTCACTGCTGCGTGGGCTGTTTCTCATGTAGTGGTAATAGAGAAGTTCAAACTTATTCAGAGCAAAGTCTTACTAGCTTTTGTTGTTTATGGATACTTTTACTTTCACAAATCTGTAAACGAGAATTATTAAAAAAAATACAGTGTCATAGCCTTTAATCAGTGGGAAACTTGCAAAAGGGGACATCCAAAGATGACTGTTCATGTTGGTCATTCATGGTTTCAGTCACAAGGGACAAACCGCCCCTCTCCTGCACTAAAAGGAATGAAAACACAGAGGCCTGCACTGTTTCCTCTGTCAGGGTGTCACATAGGAGGAACGTTAACACATAAAAGAAGGCTCTGTGTTATCATTCATACAGCAGGGCCTTTCTGTAGCCACCTCAACCACCAGTGAGGGGTCACACTAGAAGGACAGCACTTCCTGTAGGCCAAAGTTTTCCAACATAAACAAGAAAGCCCTCTAAATTATCTGCTGGTTGCTATATCGGTTTCTTTTAATGTGGCTATGTGTTATCAGAAGAAAACTCTTGGGCATTTATACGTTTTCTTATGGTAAAGCACTGAGTCTTTACAACAATGTTACTTGTTTTCCAGCAAATACAACCCCACATTTTACATCCTGTGTGAATGTAATCTGAATGACAGAATGTTCTTAGGAGGCTCTGGATGAAGCAATTGACCTGCTGGTGGAAATAGCCTTTAGCACCTAAACCACAAACCTCCCATTCTGCATCAAGTGTGCTAAGGTCAGAATAAAGATTTCAGTCTCTGCCTCTCTTCTGCCACAGCCCAAAGATCTCCCTATTAGTCTTTTCTCTGTCACTCCAACTACTTCTCCATCCATCACCTCAGGCCCCAGCTTGGTTGTTTACAGTCCTGCCTTTTCATGGCAGAGCCAAGCAGTGTCATTTTGTTGGCAGTCTAAGGCCCCGTCCACACGAAGTCAAAACGAACACG